TATCCAAGCCGAGCGATCGTCAATGATAAAGTTGCTTGTGACTAGCATTATCCAGATTTAATGAAACTATGAAATCGACTGCATGTGGCAACAATGTTTTGTCAAACGGTAGACTTATTAAAAAACGGCGAATGTAGATGCAACCAAAGTGTATCGCACTGAATAAAAACCTGGCCAGTTGCTCAGTCGTTATGTCTCCTTTACGTTATAGGATTCACAAAGGTACAACCACATTCATCATCAGCAATCCACAATTTACTGTCATCAGCTCAATTCAGTACAAGCTGCTTTCCAACTGTGGTGTCGTTCACCACCACCATCATTGCTGAAATGCTTGTCAAACACGTCAACTAAACTTGATATCAATTCACTGCAAATTAAGCAAGTCGTTGGTGGTCGTTAATAAAACATTTCTTCGCCGGATTTCTGAATGCCACTCATTGATAGGACCTGTGCTCAGAGTGTTTCGCACATGCCACATTACAAGCAGTCTCAGCTTGGTCAAAAATCCACGCAAGCTGTTTTGAATGTAAGAATTAGATTTGATTAGCCCCATGTGTGAGCAATTTGCAGCACCGCCTTTGATTGTCATCGTCAACAATGCTGCATTTTTTGTGTCTTAAGTTACTTACATAGAAGGCTGCTACCAAGTGAGGATGGTTTGGAGAACAGTCAAATAATTAGACATCCTGCAAAACAAGTACTTAGCACACCGAGTCCAGCTCTTTCCACGAGAAAGAAGAAGTTCGGATTGTAATATGAATTTGGCTAATTGTCTACTTCTTCACGTTAATGTTTACATTTGCCCCTATGCCGCTTAATCTCCCTTCCTTGGTGATAGGTTATGTAACTGAGTAGTCTTGAATGATAAGTAAAATGATTTGGCGAGAGTGCGCTTAACATTTGCCTGAAGGTATGTACCAGTTTCGACCATGAAAAAGATTGAAGGACCAAAAAAGAAAGGCTACTACATCTTTTACTCACCATCAGACGTCGTTCAGATGGTTTATGCTGTTAAAGTCAACCGGTGAAATCGGACTAATGCCACTGGTTCGAAGTTTGGTGGTGGTAAGCCTATATGGCCATCAGAAGTAAATGGGCATTTCGTGTGGCTGAACAGCACTACTAAGAGCAACGATCCAGAGCCAAAATCGACAAACCTTTTCAGGAAAGTATAAATTTGACCAACGTATTTGCACAGAAGCGTTATGGCTAATTTTGGTTCAGTCAAAGTGCAGGAAACGCAATTTGCAAAACAGATTTACCTAAATGTTTGTGTGATTTGCTGCATACCTTCAGCAAATATTCTTTAGGTTTTTGCTTTAACAGTCAAGCACTCAGGCCTCCGACAGTTCAATTCAACATGACAAACAGTGAAGACGTTGGCTGTGACCGATGCATAGCATAAAAAAGACAGCATTACAATTTGAAACATCAAATATCGAACGTGCTTTATGTGGAATCTGAAAGAAAGCGAAAAAACCCAGCAGAAGAGGTAATTTCAAGTTAATGAAAAACTGTGCATCGACCATTCTAAAAGACTAAGCATGTAAATAAAATCTAAAACAGCAGGATATATTTGTTCATATATAAATTCGACGTTTGCCGTTAAAAGTATACAAAACAACATGCCTTTGATGCCACACGCAAAAAAATTCACACTTAAATTGAATCTGCCTTATGATAGCCTGAAGAAGCAATTTTAATGACGATCACCTGGATGAGCGAAAAAACACTTCGGCAATGTAGTAGTTAAAATAATTTTGGAGGTTGGAATTAAGTTCTGAAATGCTAGCAAGAAAAAGAGAACAGACAAAAAGGCATTTAACTACGATGTTGGAGTAGAGATTGTCAATAATCAAGAAGAAGAAAAAGCAAGAAGAGAAAGCAGCAGTCGAGTCAAAAAATATATTCGAACAAAATGTTCGGAAGGTTAGAATTAAATTCTGAAATGCTAGTAAGAAAAAGAGAAAAGGCAACTCGGCATTTGAGCATGGTGTTGGATTAGAGATTGCCAGTAAACAAGAACTAGAACAAGAGAGAAAAGACTACAGATTTCAAGTCAATGCAAGTATTCCAAAGTGTGTTTGATCCGTCCAAATTCGGCGACTCGGAAGAGACAAGTAACTTTTGAAATGAGACCTGAATGCATGCAGGTTCGCGAGATCCGCAATACGATTTTCAAGCAGAAGGCAATGGCGGTGTCACAAACACAGTCGACAATTATGGAGAATGGAAGTAAGAAAGTGTTAGCAACAACAACTGCGTGAGGACAAGAGTGCCATTCATCAATCAGACTGCACAGTGGTAGGGACAAAGGAGACTTCTTCTTCTTCTTCCGGTAAGGAGCAAGAGATGTGGAATCAAAGGCCAGTCAAGGACACAGCTTCTTCAATGCAGGCGGGCATACTGCTTGCGAAGCAGGCGTAAGTTGGCGATGGTTAGTAGTATGAATGGTTTGCGCGGCGGAGGGGGCGTCGGATCGCGGGTTGAGCTTTTCAGTAGTGGTAGTAGTAGTAGTAGTAGTGTGGCGGAGGATG